TTTCAGCCAAGCATACAGCTGAACAAAGCCTTTTTCCTCTGCTTTTACTCAAAAGCAATCCTACCCTTGTTGCTCACTGGTGACTCAAAACTCAACCATGTGCTTGCAGTGTATCTGCCCCAGGAAAGGCTGTCTTACATCTCTCAGTCTGCTGCTGTGGCATACAAAGCTGGGCCATGACCACTCATGACCATCCAAAGAGGGCTTTTTTGGTTTAAGTTCCTCACCCAAGGCGCTTTGGGCCAATGCTGTGGTGGTGTAGGAACATCCCAGTCTGGGATTCACTTCAGCCTCAGGGACTCCCCAGTGGTACAGAAGTTGGCTGCTCTGCTCACTGCTCCTGATGCGCAGGCCAAGTTGCTGGCAGACAGAAGATGAAAGGAGAGGACAGAAGGGGATTTTTTTTTTTTTTCGGTTGGGTGGTTTTTTTGCCTCTGCAGAGCTGGTATATTTTCCCTGGGCAACTCCAGAGCACCCCTCCAACTTCTCTAACCTTCGCCAAGTGTCTGACAGAGCCAGGAAGCCACAGTGGGGTTTCTGGAGGATGCAGAAGCCACATGCAGCAGGCAAGCACCACGTATTTCCCAAGGAGTCAAACACAACATTGTAGGCAAGAATTAAAAAGGACAAGCTGGCGCTGCAGCACTTCTTGCTTCTTGCTCTGAACTTTGCAATTTTTCAAACAACCAGAGTAGAGGGATTCCAGAAGTAGCATTATAAAATTGAGAAGCTTCAAATGAACAAACAGCCTGTCCTTATTACGTCTCGTACGTCAGCATCCTGCCGCGCCGAGTCTGAGGGCAGCTCCCACAAAGCCTGCCCAGCCGCTGCAGCCAGCCAGCATGGGTTGTCGTAATTAGAAGCATCAAAACCTCTCGATGCTGCAGAACGTGGGTTGGCACACAACGGCACGGTGCCAGTGCTGGGTGGAGGTGTCATCCATCGCGATGCTACCCAGGGCTGCAAGCTGAGAACAACTCATGCTATTGCAGTGACTGGACTGCAGCGAGGCGGGGAGAAAGCTAAATATATACCCCTTTAAAAAGCAGCACTCCCCTGCTCTTGTTTAGCATGTATCTGTTGAAAGGCACAGAGAGCCTCTAACTAGAGAAAGAAAAATACAACCTGGCACACCATGCTCAAAACATTCCCAACATGCAACGTACCCACAGCTGCTTATACTGCAGCAGCGTCAGAAGGAGATCTGTTGCTGCAAGAGACCGCTTCTATCCCAATGCACCCTGCTGCTATCGCAGAGACCCAGCAGCACTGGTCCAGAGAACACCTACATGACCACCTACCTACCAACTGAGCCCCAGGCTCAGTTCAGAAATCGGGGCATCCAGACTGAAAATTGTCCCAGTGCAAAATAGGCACAAGTTGGGAGCACAAAAGGGACAGAAATTGCTCTTCCAGCTGCTTGCAGAAAGACTAGCCTTGCCTCATCCCCCCCCAGTCAAGAAATAAATAAAGAACCCGAAAGAAACAACAACAAAAAGCAACCCCTTAACCCTCCTGCTCCTGTTTCGCACAGGTTGTAAGTCCAGCAGCGTGCCTCTCCATCTAGCCCCAGGAAGGGCTGCAGGTGGAGCGGTCACCCCAGCGCCGCCGGCCCAGCACCAGCACAGTCCCTCTGTGCTCGCAGACGGCTTTGACAGGGCTGCGGTTGGAGCTCAGCCACCGCCCGGCAAAGCTCCCCGGAGTGCAACTGCACCGCAGGATGGAGGAAGAAAAAATATCACAGCAGCAAAACCTGAGCTGCATTATCAAAGGAAGCCAAACCGACCAAGCACACAGCAAGCCACAGACATGTCTGCCAGCCCAGCAGCAGAAGGAATGAAAATGCTTGTGGTCTCTAAGCTGCCTGAGCCGCAGGGTGAGCTTTTGCTATCTCTCAGGCTGACCTGCGCAAGGCGAGTCGAGTGCGACTTGCACCCAGACCTCAGGACGCCCCAAGCTGCAGAGGGACCTGCCCCACCTCCAGCCGGGGTCCCCCAGCACGAGCTCTGCACCCCCTCGGGCAGGGATGGGGCGTGGAAAAGAACCAGGACTCTGCTCCTGAACAACTTGAATATCAAATGGGCCCCTGCCCTGTAAGGGCAAAGCGGCAGCTAAGGCTGGAGTGCAACATCTGATGGAATCTAACTGAGACTTAAGAGTAAACAAAATTTAAATCCCCTAGAATTGTGTTTCTCCTACCAATGACAACTAGGTGAAAAATCTTGCTTCTCCATCCTTAACATCACAAGTACATGCAAGTCTCAAAATGGCACAGCCAACTGCTGGGATTTTGGAGCTCAGCGATACAAACATGGTACTGGATGCTCTCAGGACCACGACAGTTTACGAAAGCTGTCTGTTCACAAAGGACGGCATCCACCTCCCAGCTGCTGGCAGAGCCAGCCACTTCGCCTGGCATCTGGGGAGCGTGGAGAGCTTGGGGTTCCCTTCTTCCTTGTATCAAAGAGACGCTAAGGAGAAGGCAAAGGAAATAAGCATGAATAATGCTCTGCCGAAAGACTTTTTGTTTCAACCCAACTCTGTAGAAGCAAGAGAGAAATTATCAGTGATTTTCCTTTTGTAGATGCACCATCTTAGGAAGCACAATCTATTTACACAGCAAGATGCAAGAAGCAGTTGATGCACAGGGATGAGAAGGACGCTAGATCCATCTGCAAGGGGCACCACAGACCCCACGGGGATGTTGAGACATGCATCATAGAACTCTGGCCAGCAAATCCTGCAGTAGGAGGATACATCTGTCCTTGGGCTGCCAGCTCTGCTGGTCAGGGAAGAAAGAGGCAGGATTTTGTGCATAGGGAGGGATGGGTCAACGTCACACCAGAGCCTGCAGGAAAGTAAGAAGCCTCGCCTGCGTTAGGTGAACAGCAATCCTGTTGTCTAGGTGTAGACAGGCAGGAGCAGGCAGGTTTTGCTCTTGACTGTCACAAGGCAAGTCTCCTCCACCTCCTCCAGGTTTGAGACATCATTTTTCCATGAGTCCTTACTAAATCACAGCCCTGACTTTTCAGATCCTCATCCACACAAGCACTTCTGAGTCCCCAGAAAACCCCACATGAAGCATCTTCCCCACCTTCCCTAAGCCAGGACCCAGGGGTGATGCTTGAAGACCACTTCGAGGTAGGAGGAGAACCTGAAAGGTCCTAAACTCCCAACATGGCCAAACGTATGAAGGTTTTTCCCTTCTCTCTGCCCTGGGAGAGACAGGGTTAAAAACAAACAAAACGTCACTTTGCTGAAGCTGTTTTTCTAAAATGAAGAAAAAAACCCATAAACAATGGTGCTGCCACATCCAGCTGAATTTGGACCATCTCCTCCCCTGGACCTGTGGGATCACTCCAGCTGGGAGCACCTTCTCAGTGGCTTCTTCTTGGGCTCCCTCCCACAAAGGCAGAGGTGTTCCAGCAATAGGAAAGGTGAGAGGCTGGGGCTTTTTTCCTTGCAAAAAAATAATCTTAGCAAGATAATCACAGTGCACTCAGAGTGTGCCCCTCTATAATACGCAGCAGCTTTGCCAGTCCTCAGATAATTTCTGTACTTGTAGGAACCATGGAAGCCACTGCCAGAAGCCATTTTATACCAAAACCAAGATCTGGGAACACTGCATAAATGGATGGAGTTTTTTATCGTCAGGCCAGGCAGTGCTGCTTACACCTGGGCCTTTCCAGATTTAGCATTTGAGCATTATCAAATAGTGGGTAGCAGATGCATCACCAAGATACTTCACAGGCCTTTTGCCTTTACTATAAAAGGCTTTTTGCATGATGTAGGAAGACAATAACTCTTCCTAACAGCTAGTACAAGAAGATGAGATAGATAAAGTCACCTCGAGGACGAGCATAGGTATTCATGAACCCTTTGGCCCACCTTCAGTATTAGTTCAGATTTGGGGAAAACAGCAGAGCCTTCCTACTCAAAGACTAGCATCTCACGCAGGGAGCCATAAGAACCCTTCCAGTACTTCTGTTCTGGGCACCTCTTACAATGCTTGAATACATCATCCAGCTGCTGAGAGCCTCGCACGCTGTTTTCACACCACCGCCACGCTGCCGAATTACACCTCCCTCTTCAACTAGTGACACCCAGTTAAAGCAGCAATATTGGGAGGGACATCGGGGACCAGTACTCACCAGTTTGCTAATACTAAAGTCCTGGGTCTGGAAATTACGCCCTACAGACCCTGTGTGAAAACTGGTTTTACAAAGAAACAAAAATGCCCTGGGTACTCTGCAGGACTGGACCCTAAAAACCAATTTCAGTTCCTCTTGTTGCTCCCTGGATGGTACAGCATGTTTTGGCCGCTCAGCCCTCTTGGCCTACAAAGTCTACCCCAGCTTACTAGGAAGGTTTACTGTCATAAATGCTGTATGGGAAACAATATCTTTTCACTCATCTTCACAGAGAATATTATTTGTCACTTAGGCAGAAAAAGAAAATCCACCACTTTGGCACTAAAACACAGTATTCCAGGAAACATGAAATGAATTATTCCTCTCCCCTTAACTGGTTTAGTGGTAGACTTGGTAGTGTTAGGTCGATGGTTGGACTTGATGATCTTAAAGGTCTTTTCCAACCTAAACAATTCTATGAATCTATTTTTGTATTACAAGTAACCTAGCATCTCATATAGCAGATAAGTAAGTTCTGGTTTGATGCACAAGGACTATCTGAAAAGGCAGAGGAAATCAATGGGTAGAAATTGGCATTTTTGAAGCTTTAGAAACTTGGAAGAGTCTGGGGAACAGACAAACTATTGACTTCCCTACATCATCTCAACTGAACTTATTAAATAAGATCCTACACATAGTATAAACTCTACCATATGCGTGCAGAAGAACAAAGATTTTCAGAGTCTTTTATAAATGAAACCTCCTTTGTGGCTAAAAAAAAAAATATATCATGCTGAAACTAAAAATATTACAGAGGCTGCAGCTGCGCAAACAATTAAATGGCGTTTACCAGCAAAGGTATTTACTTACTGACAGTCAAGAAACGTTGGCTTGTAATAAAACGGTGGCATTTTAGATTCATATTTTGCTTTTGCTACATTGTTTCCATTCGAGGCCATAAACTGTGAAAAGAAGAGAAAAACCAGAAAGAATTAAAAAATGTTAACGGTATTTTCCCTTGTCCTCTTTTGTTTCTAGAGAGTAATAAAATTATTGGGATGGGGCCTCTGTTCACTTACTGAGGTTTCCCCAGGACTGTGCACAGAAGGGATGCTGTAAAGCCTGTGCCTGCAAACCAGGGCTCAGAAATTAATATTGACTATTATTGCCAGGGCTCCCCCCAGCTTAATACAACGCTGGGGACAGGTCCGTGTCCCAGTCACACGTGCATGATCCCCATGGGAGCAGAAGGCAGCACGCGGTGGCATTTCCCACTCACAGGCACGAGAATGAGATGGCTCCCAGGGAACCCAGCACAGAAATTGGGCAACCAGAGGGCAAAACCCAACACTAACTTTAAGTCTGCCTGTGTTACAGCTCAGGCAAGGTAACAGTCTCCGACAATATGCCCTTTGCTTTGGATCACATCACTTGTTCCGAAAGGTTAATTTCATTTTTGCAAAGCCATGCCAGCAACCTCAGAAAGGAGCTTGAAATACTAAAAATAAATAAACAAATAACTTCTATCTGCCCTGACATCCCTCCTTTCCCTCTGATCTCTTATAAAAATGGCTAGCTGAGAACACAGCAAACAAAACCATGTATTTCCCTACTCATAAATTTTATTTAATTAAAATCACTTTATAACTGTAAAAACCCCCCATCCTTTTCCAGGCAGCCATGCTAAATATGTTTTGTCCTGTATCAAATGCCAAATATACAAGTATAACAAGAAGCTAAGCTTTTTCTTCCCCCCACCCCTGCAAGACTTTTTTTTTTTTCTCATTATTTTCATGTTTTTGAGCTTCTTGAGTTTACATATTCAATCTATTCTCAAAAAAAAATCAGGGAAGGGAAAACTCACGCAACACAAAGGCTTATTTTCCTCATAAAACACATGACTCCCTGAGCTGTGGCTTTCAGAAAAACCTCAAATCAACAACATACAAGATAAAGATCAATAACTGGTAGCATTCTTCATGCCTTTAGAGACAGCAGCAGTCAAAGCAGATAGGTTTCCTGGGTAGACTTGCCTTTTAGCAACATCACCCAAACCTAGGCAGGTGCGTTGCATAAATAGAGAGAATTTATACTGTGAGGGTTCACTTCTTCAAGATGTGAGTTTAAGAGTCTTCAACGCTAAGTGGAACAAAGTCAGAAACAGCCAAGCTGGGCAGGGGTGGTAGACTAGAGGTCTAGCCTACCGTCTAGTCTAGGCTAGAGGTAACGTGAGAAATGGAAGGCAATTAATTTAAAATTAGTCATTTCTACACACTCTAACTGATATTTTTATAGGTGTGGGGGAAACCCTCACAACTTCTTCATGAAATGTCTACTCCATTTTTCCGTCAGCATCATGGACCTCATTCCCACATTCAGGAATTATCTAGACATGCTTTCTGAAATTACATTTGCTGCGGCATCTTTAGAAAGGACTCTTGTTTTACAGCTTTGCTGGTAAAATGCAGTGACCCAAGCTCACTGGTACTTCAAGTCTCAGATGCACATACCTCCACTTGAGCATCATCCCAGTCATCCAGACGGACCGACTTCACTTTGCTGACTTGGGGAATATTGCGATGGATTCCTGAACAATTCAAGCAGATGAAGATCCCTAGGCTGTGGGATGCCCAGTCCGGGTCTGAAAGCAAGAAGGAAAGGAAGAATTGCACTCGACCGGTCTGTCGGATTCAGCGCAGGAGGAAGGAGAGATGGGGCAGGACAGGGCATGGCAAGGCAGTTCAGAAGTCACCAGGTCCAAGTTCCCTGATTTTAAAGGCATCAAATAAACACACAAGCGAAATACATATATGTGTTTGTTTATATTGATAGTTATACCAATTACACTAACAATTAACAGATTTGCAATCTCAGGTGCAGCAGTTATTCACAAAACCCCAATATACAGACAACTGCATATGCCCGAGACCGCCAAAACTCACACCATGCTCACAAGAAGAGGTGAATGTCCATCTTTCATCAGGAAATCCCACCCAATGAGAGCCGCGTGGAACAGAAATTGCACAATTAAAAGAAACATCTCGGGGAAACTGCTATGCTGGTCCCTTGCTTGCTTTTTTTTTTTTTTTTTTTTTGGGAGTGCTCCACAGAGAGACTTTCCTCCCACAGCTACGGCTGCCCAGCAGCACAGCCCTCCGTGCCAGGAGGTTTCCAGCCCTTGCCTTAATGGAAAAATGCTGCCAGTGGCAGCTCTGTACTTTCTCTGAGCAAAACCACGCGCTGTTTACATCCCCGAGCTGACGTCTCACACAAAGCACTTTCAACACAAGTCTTTCGCCTCCAAATTCCTCCTCAGGAGAGGCATTGCCCACAGCATGGAGAGACGGAGAGGAACCGGAGGAGGGCAGGGGCCGGGGGCAGGACACATCCACCAGTGTCCCTGGCACTGCCTCGCTAATAAAGCCTATACAGGGATCTTTGTTTGAACTCCGACTAGCAAATGTCAGCGCCTGCTATTCCAGCTGCGCCCCAGCAGAAAGAGTTTCCTTGCAAGTCACCAAGTCAGCCATGAAATCCCGCACCTCCCCCGACAGAGGTCCCTCACCCCATCCTCCCCCAAACCCGCACAGGTGGGAGCCCCCCGGCTGCCCCATTGCATCAGGCTGTCAAGGGGTAAGGGCAGGTCTTCCCTTCTCGCAAACTGTCATAATTTGTTTATTCCCCCGCAGTAATTACGCTAAACACTCACTCCTCACAGCGCAGCAATTATTTATAAAAAGCAAGGGAACGTGCTTTCTCCTCTTATACATATTTAATGGTCTGGCTATATGAGTGCAGCGGGAGCAGGCTGGCATTGGGCAACGCAGCTCCTCTGCACGGGGTATCGAGGTCTGCTACTGGCCCCTGCCTGCAGGGACGGCCACCAACCTCCCCCAGCACACCCTAGAAAAGACTAATTCAGTTCCCCAGAGGTGGTTGTGCTCAGATATAAACCCATGAGCAAAATGAGCAGCCTCATCGGACGTGGCTGGGCGCCCACCCAGGAGAGGGGAGCGAAGTCCCAAGCTGGTGCAAGTCCCATCAGCCGCAGCTCCCTTGGCACAGGGCTGGAACCAGCAGCCAAAAATAAAGGTATATTTTTTCTGTTTCACATGATCTCCCATCCTCATGTGAGACCCTAATGACAACAGCTTAGGCCTGGCAAATATAAAACCAGGCGAGTCAATCTAAGCACACCACAGCAGCAACCAAGTGCTGCCCACACCCGCAATGCCAGTGAGGGCACAGGGTGCCCCACCAGCCCCAGTTCCTGCACCCTCACCCTGGTCCTCCCACAATGACCGGGTGACTCGGCTTCACATCACGCCTGAGGTCAGGCACCCCCACTTATTCCAACCACAAAGATTGCTGCCAGTTGTTGGGTTATAGGCTGGCAACAAGAATCAAGAGTTTTGCATGCTCACACACATTTCCATGCTCGTGCTCTCCTCCCTCTCCCATCTCCAAACACTTGGCTGTAGTCAAGGTCCGAGACCTGTCAAACTTCCTACCACAAAAACAGTCCAAGGTGCAGCACGGCTGCCCTGTGGTAGCCCAGGACCATGGGACCAAATGACGTGAGTCAGGCAAGGTGAAAGCATCAGGGTCTCTCGTTGAAAAATCTTGACTTCCACTGTTGAAAATCTCTGACTTCCACGCAGAGGATCAGGCACGTGGAAGGGTGAGAGGGTCTGGAGGATGGGGCGGCCACAGAGCAGCAGCGAGGAAGAGGAAGCCGCGGCAGTGAAGTTTGGAGTCAGGAGTTAATACAGCCACCAGCTCCCTGTGCTCAGCACAGCTGCTCCATGATAACCGTGCTTCAAGCCTTCCCGGTGTAATTAGATCCAATCAAAGCAGGGAAATGGGTATCAAAGTATGCATTGGCCTCCACAGGTTTTATCAGGAGCCACAATGCTTGTTTTATGTTAACAGATTTATCTTAGGCACGCAGGTAGCTTTCTTCATATTGTCTGCAACTTGCTAGACTCAGGTTTCCAAATCCTTTGAAGAAGTAACCCCTCCGCTGCCTGCACTGCAGTGTGCAACAGGACCAGGAGATGTCACACCTTCCTCCAGCCAGGGATGAGGACACATTTGGGTGGAGGAACATCATGCAAGAATATCCTCAGGCTCAGATGGAGGAGACTGCAGTTCCAATGGACACTGAGCCAACTCATACCCAAGCCATCTCTTCTCAACGTGGGTAGACAGCACCTCAAGCAATGGGTTTCAATCACAACTGGGGCTTTAAAGCATTCTCCTGACACCAATAGTATTTTCTTTAGCCGCAACTCTTGAACATGTATCCCCCCGGCTCCACACAATGTCAAGCCACATCTAATTAAGAAAGCAAAAGCTGGGCTATATGCAGGAGCATACGCGCACGGTTTCCAGAAGATGCCAGTACTTCACAGGAGCAGGCAGAGGTGACAGGGTCAGTGGTGACCCAGCCCTTGGAAGGGATGTCCTCAGCTTGTTCATTAAAACCACACCTGCTAGCTACCTCTTCCTGATCACCTTCCTTTCAGTGTTTCCTCTCTTGCCTAGACACAAGGTCCACGTCCATCCAGCATCAACAGCATCCCACACAGCAAACTCCAAGGAGCACCATGACACAGCTGCATGCTTCACTCAACTCACCAGACCCGATACCAGCAGTTTGCATTGCTGCTGTATATTAATAGCAACTTCCCCTTCATTGCTCTTCTGGTTTTAAAAATATGTATCTCTTAAATCCAAAATCATGCAGCAATGGGGGATGTAAGAGCTGTAGATGCTTGGCTGGTTCTGTGCTGCTTTCCTGTGACGGCCACAGCCCAGAACTACGCAAATTTAGCAACTGTTTTTAGTGCCAAAGGGAAAAAGAGTTCAAAGGCCTCAAGAGCTGAGTTAGCCCCATCCAAAAAATTGCTAAATCCCCTGGATTTAGCAAAACTAGTGAAATGCCCCAGAACCAACTGATCGTCCAGGGGAAGTCTCTCCAAAATGTCGCTGTTACAATGACTTATTAGAGCTTTCTAATGGCTCTTGCTCTCCTTGCTGAAGACATCTGACTGAGAAAGCAAGCCATCCCAGGCCTTTCCTGGACTTTAGCTGAAAGCCAAAAGGAATTCCTAAGCATCAGCTGAATAAGCCAGAGGGCTATGGACCCACACAAGCCCCCAGGCTGGTGAATCCCTGTGACCTCTCCTGTGCCACCGCTCTGTCCGTGGCCAGGAAGGAAGAGGGTGGAGGATTCCCTGACTTCATCTTCCGGAAGGCTCTACCAACACAGCTTACCCTTCTCACCCCCTCCGTGCACTTGTGACACCATTTTCGAAGAAATCTAGCTACAAGACCTCTACACCCACACATCTTCTGCAGGAACTGGTGACAGATCCCCAGGCAGATGGCTCCCGGCCAGTGCAAGCACCCACTTCTGCAGGGACGCTTTTCCGAAGCCCATTGTAAGGCTTGGGGATGTCAGCAGCTATGGAGCTCCCTGACCACATCACAGTCCCTCCCTCTTTATTTCTGCTCCCCAGCATGAACAATGTGAAAAGTTCTCAGCTCAGGAACATGGCAGATAACATCAGCAATCTCCAATCTCGGCATAATCACAAACTCCAACCCTTCAAACAACTGTGCCATTGCTTCCAGATAAGACAACATCTTATCAAGCACGCAGATAAATTCACATAAGCATCTTCATACGAGACAGGTGAGTTTTGGGGCAGCACCATCAGTTTAGTGAACCAGTGTCTTTGCTGTATGGCTGGCGAGCTGAGGTCTCCGTAGCTAGGTGAAGTCCACCTTGCTGCTAGACACTTCAACAGCTGGAGCATGTTCTCTGTGTTGGACATCTGGGGAGTTCAGTAATTTTATTTAAGCCATTTTATCTGGGCAGGGCCCAAAAAGTGCACCGAAATGGGAATATATCATAATCTGGGCCATTTTTGGGCACTGCCCAAAAAAGATTATTTTTTTTTTCTAAGCCTCCACAGCAAACAGCTTCAAGCAAACAACAGTGAAGCCTAATGAAAACTCTCCAGCATGTCCAAGTTCCACACAAATTACTTTATTCCATTATGTCAAGCCAAAAGGAATAAAGACTAACAAGGAGCAAGAGGAATATTAAACCAAATACACTGTTATAAGTGCAAAGTCTCTTATCCTTCAGCATCATTGCTCCAGAACAACTGATGCCAGCTCTAGAAGACTTTCACTGCCCAATGTGGCAGAGATTTCTAGTCACTTATAAACAGATTATAATGACTTTCAAAATAAAAACTTGATGCAACTTCATTTTAAAAATTAAATAAACAAACAAAGCTAAACTAAACTCAGGAGAAGGGCATTGGGGTGGTATTTTCCCATTTCATTCATCTGAAAGCGAAGGCACAGCCAGAGATGACAGAAGCATCCAAAGCAAAACTAAAACATTTGGGCAACATGGCTAAATTCAGAAATTAACTTAACCACCCAGCCTCTTTTGACATCACAAGCCCTGGGAAAACCCAGCACACAGAACAATGAACTCTGCAGCTTGAACCCAACATTACTAAGCATAAGAACAGCCCATGGAGGGAAAAAACAAAGGCTGGACCCAGAAAAACAATAAAGAACCACCAACATAAGACATAGGACAATCTATACAAACCAAAAGGAGAGTAGAGAAGATTGGAGGTGGGATGGCAGTGGA